CCAAGAAAATTTGTATAAATGGTGATACCTTAATTTCACTTTCCACATAGACACTACATACATTTTTTTCTGAATAACTGAAATTAATTTAATAAAATATGTTATTTTATTTCTCTTCAAATTTCCCCCATATTTTAAGAAAAAGACAATACCAGTACGGAAATATGTCTAATTAATATTTCATTTCAATGCAGTATACTAGCATTAGCTCTATTAACAGAATTTATCACAGATCTTTGAGTTAGAGAATCTAAAGCATATCATAACAAAAATAGACTAAAAGAAAGGCCTTAAAATCTACTGTCATTAGTTCTGTCATCCCTATAAAGTTAATGGGTTGGAAAAATGGTCAGTCTTTGGAACCAAAGTTGATATTTAATTGAAAGGAAATGCTTTTTTAATTGTAATTTCTTCAGTTTTTAAAAAACACTGGCATGAATATGAAAAAGAACCATGGAGGGTAAAATGAGGATTCATACTCATCTGCTTATTAGCAATAAAAAATATATAAATATCTGAGATGAATAAAAATCTTCCTTTCCATGTGCTAGCACAGGAAATCATAGTAAAGGAAAGATATGTATATTTTCTTAAAGATTTATTTTGAATTTTGTCAGAAAGAACAACTTGGAGCAACAAAACGTATGGTGATTGGGCTAGCTCCATGGCTTAAATTACCATACTGAACGAATAGTAACAATAGTCCTCTAAATAATCTTGATGGTAAGGAGTAATATAACATATTGATAAGGATTAATATATTCAAATGAAGAAATATGAAATTAGTTGTTAAAAGAATTCATATCCCTATATTGTCTTTTTTTTTAACAAATATTGCTTTTCTTAGAGAGGAAAACTTGAGCCGTTACCTAGAGAGGAAAACTTGAGCAGTTACCTAACATTTTAAATGCTCTTTTTGCTTAGAACAGTCTAATCAGTTTCATACCCAACAAAATGGCAGCTCACAACTGTTTTGGTATAAATAGAAGTGCTAATTTTCATTTAAGGCCGTTTACAAAAGCCGTAGTAGTATATGAAGCAAATTTTGTTTTAATTGGTCAGAACAAGAAAAGGTTAAAAAATCACTGTGGAAGTCTTACTGTAATTCAGTTATAAAGTTATTACGATGCCAAGTACTTGCGCCTTGTTGTTAAGGTGCTTTTGCTCTATACCCTGTAGTCTACCATTTGTAAACACATCTTCTTGATGTTTCTGCCAACATCCTGGCAACAAAGCAGTGCAATTTCAAATGAGCTAATTAACTTAATTGTTGATGAAGCATGAAACAGTTCATTCACCCTGTTAGCTGCTCCATGACAACATAAGAGTTGCAGCCTGTGAAGTTACTCATCTCCATAAACCTATCTGTAGCTCTCTGTTTAGATCTCTTGTATCCCGGAATTGTGTGTGGAAAACGTTTCATGAAAGATGCGTATTCTCATTTGAAAAAGAACCTCCTGAGAATTAAAAATAAGTATATATATCATCATATGAAGAAATTAAAGACACATAAAGTTTTGATTTTAAGCTAGAGAGGGCATATAATCTATCATACAAACATATGGCTATGTATGTTCCTTTACGATTCTGAGGGCAACAAGTAACAGCGTGAATGAAATACAGTTATTTCCTAAAATTTTAGCTACTATTAACTTTCTTTTTTTATTCTTGTTGTTACATATATATTAAATGTTATTATTTAAATAACAAATATAAAGTCTGCAATTAAAAAAATAAACCTGTAAAATATGTCTGTTTACAAATATATATATTATATGACTTCTCACATAATTTTGCTTGAAATTTTTATTAAAAACTTGAGATTTAGGTGAATCCTGCAACTATGTCTCCCTGTTATTAATGACACTATTATAGTAGGGTAATATTTTTCATTCATTCAAAAACCTTTAATGAATGATTTGTAAAATATTTTCATGAAAAGGTAACAATGAAGAGTTAACCTTCTTAGCCTCACTTTGCTAATCGACTTGTTGGAATACACAGAAAACTTAGTGTGCCTTACGATGGACCTTTACTGTCTGTCCTTCAGCTTTGAGTATTTACAACAACGTGCCTAAAACTCCAATACAATCCACTCCCTCCCCTCAAAAAAGTAAAGAACCTACTTTAAAAACTGTCCAAAATCTTCACAAATGCTTTCACAGCCTGGCCATTTGCAAACTCCATGGCCATAGAGAGTGTGAGAGGCCCCAGTCTCCTCATGTGACGAGCTGTAGCAAAAGAACACGGCATCAGATTCATCTCCAAAAGCCATAATCGTTGCAGGCTGCTGGCGCCTGTCAGGTTACGATCAGTGACAAACAGGTCAAAACAGGTCAACTCAGCTCAGAGCAGTCAGAAAAATTTAATCGTTCTATTGAATAGTTCAACTGCCAAGGCTAGATGATGTTCCAATTAGAGGAGAAATAGAGCCAAAGATGACTGTTAATAAAGGATGAAAAAGTAAGAGGACTGTATAATATCATATGCTAATCCTGCCATATGACCTTAATGTAACATTTACCTCTAAATAAAAAATATATATTCATATGTGGTCAAGTGAAAAAAAAAACATGTATTTTTAAGAAAGTAATAGGACAGTCACCATAATATTTTTGAAATGCTCTTTTAGAGATCATGTGGACCTTTAGGATCTTTTAAACTGTTTAATATTTATGTGCGAATGTGAACCATATATATTTCTGCTAGTCACAGTTGATTAAAAAAATTCTACTTTGGAACAGTATTCAATAGCTATATCCTTCTACAGTTATCAAAGACTTTTGATAAGTGAGTATTATAGCAGATAAAGAGATCCTAGATAAATCAACCAACTTCTGACACATATAATCATCAAATTAATGTCAATTAAAACAACAGCGTGAAAGCAACGGAGGCGTACCATTTTATAATAATGAAAGCTAACAAGAAAAATTTTTCATGATACTCAAATGAAGACCAGAAACATCACCAAATTATAATGTTCTATTTTAAACTGTACTGTAATTAAATACATGTTTCTCTTTGCTTATAAACTCCATCATGCCACAACAGAAAACCAAATCGGAGCATCTATCTTCTGATATATTATGCCTGTGTTTATATGTTTACATACATCTATTCTCTGATTTCTAACCACATACTTGAAACATATGCTAAGGGGGATATGTATGCATCTTTAATTGTTTGTAACCAGTTAAGTTAAAAAATGTTAAAATGTTCTCATAGCATTGGGTTAACCACAATATCTTAGTCATAAAAATATATTGACACAATAATTCCATGGGCATTTATTAAAAAATAACTCTCTTCAGGCAAATTCCCCACTGTAGGAATCAAACTGCTGGTATTTGAACTGCTTTTAGTGGTGAAAAATAATATATGAGATGAATAATCAAAAGGTTTCTATTTAATTTGTTGTTCCACACATTTTGCCCCTGTTAAGTACAAATCATTATTTTTAGTTTTATCAATGGTGAAAGTAAAATTTGGTGAGAGATAAGTATAGAATAAATCTCATGAGATTTACCTGTCTCTCCTTGCATTTAGAACTGAAGACTGTCCATTCACTATGGAATGATGGGTTATTGGCGGTGATGCTTTGGAAGCAGTGGAGGAGGTAGTCGAGGAGGAATTGTTAGTAGTGAGGTCTAGACCTCCATGTTTAATGCCATTGTCTTCCATACTGTGGACTCCAGTCACTTCTTTCCATAGCTGCTGAATCTCAGCAGGACTTAAGCCAGCTATAAAATGAAAGAAAGCGCCACTGATATAACAAGGTCAAGTTCATAAAATGAGCTTAGCGTTATCATTAGATTAATGCCAACAACAAAAGTGATGTTATCAACATAATTAATATACAATAATAAATCATTTGACACCATCAACACTACAGCTTTTCTCTACCAATTTGGGAATAGTACTGGGAATAATAGTATTGGGAATAACATTAAGGATTAATAGATAAAAGCCAGCAAGTTCTATTTGAAAATTAAACTATTCACCTTTTAACAGTAGCTTTTACTTATTGCTAGTATTAAGTTTTTATCAGTGAGGAACTAAAAGAGAAATAGATCTGAAAATAAGACATATCAAAAGAAACGAGAAGGAAAAAAAGAGGTAAAGAAGGTAAACAAAAATGTCAGGGGAAAACAGTAAACACTCAACTCAAAAGAAAAATAGATTAGACAATTATCTGGTCATTTTGATCTTTCTCAGAGAGGCAAATGAAATAACTCAATCTCATTCTGAGGTCCTGAATAAGCCAATATGCTGACTTATATAGATCAATTAAGCAGATAACACCTAAACTTCTCCTTTATTTTAGGACTGATAGAATAAGGCAACTACTGATTTTAAACAACTCCCTGGTTCAGATTATGCAAATTTACCTGATTTGTGCAAGAATGAAAATAGAAAAGCGGGGCACAATCCTTTAGCTTTTAACTTTAATTTTGAAATAAGGAATTGAGACACTATTGTTTACAGTACTTGACTTATAAAATAGTACTTATATGTGCCAAATACTGTGCCTTCATATATTCTTTATATACCTTATGCTCTTTAATTCTCACTATAATCCAATGGAGCTGATAGTTTCATTTTAATTAATTTATGGATAAGGAAACAAAGTGGGAGAGAGGTTCAAAAATGTATCCAAGGTCACAAGGCTTATATGTGGTAAAGCTGTGGTCTGACTTAAAATTCAGGCAGTCTCACTTGAACGCCTTTGCTCTTAAAATATTATATTAAAAATATGAAAACTACTGAAAAAAGATATACAGGGGGCAATGTAGATATAATTATAATTGCTATAATTTATTGAGCATCTACTATATTCTGGTACTTCACATTAACAATTTCAGTTAACCTCACCTGAAGTTAGGAATCACTACATTTCACAGATGAGGACGAGGAGGAAAGATTAAATATGTTGCCCCCAAGCCACTAACTCATAACCAGTGGACAGAATTCAAACCCAATGCCCTGTGGCTCCAAAATCTATGTTCTTTATCACTATCTTCATCTACAACATCTAAAATAAGGATGGAACTGCTAATCAAACTACCCATCCTCTGCTCCCCCTGCAACCCAACACACTTCTCTGTCAGATGATATAGTAATGCTGATCAATCAAGACGTTTGAGGGAGTGGAGTGGGATGGAATAAGCAGGGGAGACTGGAGAAAGATAACAGAATATGATGGTCAGGAGAGTGAGCCCTTTCACCCCTACTCCTGCAAGTAGAAAAATTACTGATCTAGACATAGTGGTAAGTAGACTATAGCAACAGAAGAATTCTTACTGTTCCGAATGTAACTTCTGGTTAAATTATGCATCACAGTGGTAACCTTAAATTGCTATGCCTATCACAATTTCACACAGATAGTTTTACTGAAAGCTATCATTTTGGTGATTCCGGTGCCTCAAGATTTTAAGACACAGCCTGAAACTAAAGAAAAGACAGGATAACTCAGGTTTCCAAAGTTATAAAAAATGATTTTTTTCTACCAAAAAAGACAGCAGCTTAATAAATAAAGATATTTCTCTGTTACTTAGGAAATAATTTCTATACAAAGATCATTAGTTATTGCTTTAATTCTAGCTTTAACCTAGGATTCAGAAACTTTTCTGACTGTAACTTTTTTTTTTTTCGCTAAGGAAGATTCGCCCCGAGCTAACATCTGTTGCCAATGTTCCTCTGTTTTGTATGTGGGTTGCCGCCACAGCATGGCCACCGACGAGTGGTGTAGGTCTGCGCCCAGGAATCAAACCTGGGCTGCTGAAGCAGAGGGCACCGAACTTAACCACTGGGCCACGGAGCCAACCCCTAACTGTACCTTTTTGATTACCTGTCTGTATGTGGTAGGTGTCCTAACAGGGAAACTTCATGAGCAAAAATCCTTTTTCATGATCGCATCAACATGTCTTCTGCATCACAACTCACATCATCTGACCTGCTGCCTCTCTGCTCCACGGTCAGCTCTCACCTAGACCACTGCTATAGCTTCCTGACTGTCTTCCTGCTTTGACCCTGCCTTCCTATAATTAACTTTCCATATATCAGCTAAAAATTATCCCTTTAAACGTAAATTTGGCCATGGCACTTTCCAGACAAAACCTCCAATGGCTTTTCAGAACACTTAAAAACAAAAGAAGAAAAAAGAAAAGAAAAGAAAAGAAAACCTTATTACGGCCTATGAGGCGCTGGCATCTATTATCTGGCTCTTGCCTGCCTCTCTGATCTCATCTATTGCTCTCTCTCTATTTCATCCTGTTACCTAGCCTTCTGCCGCTTCTCAAATGCATCAAACATTCACCCCTTTTCCAGCTTTTTCTCTGGCTGTTCCCACAGCCTAGGCCACTCTGGTTGCAGATCTTCCCATGGCTTCCTCGCTCCCTTCACTCAGATGGTCCAAGGGTCACCTCCTCTGAGACGTCTTTGACCACAGAATCAACCACTGCCCCTCCCCACCCTGCCTTCAATCATTCCCTGTCACTTCACCCTACTTTATTTTTCTTAAGAACATTTATTAGTTTTTGAAACTATATTATTTGTTTTACTTGTTATCATCAGTCTCTCTCCACTACGATTTAAGCTTAATAACAGCAGGGATTTCTTATTTTACTGGTATATCCCCAGTGCCTAGAACAGTGCCTGGTATGTGCTCAATAAATAGTTGTTGATTTAATTGATTATAATAGATTCATACAGTTCTTAAAGACTTCTTGGTTTCCACATGGAAGTTCTGTGGCTATTAAAGGCCATATTATTTTTGAGCGTTCCTATCCTGTAAGGCCAATGTCTAAAGAATTATAAATGGTACTGGTTGATTTTAACAGATTGAGTGGCTAATAACATTTTATATCTTGGCTAAAGACTTTTAGATGTTTTTAGAGACTATACCACTTAAAGATGTTATTAATAATTTAGTTTTGGGATTTTACTAATAATTTAGTTAACGTATGTATCTGTTTACCTTTTCAAAGTAGATTTCCGTTATCTTATTCATTTGCATTGAAAATTAGTGGTATCACCATGATACTGCAATGATATGGTAACAAATACCAGGCTCATAAACATTTGATGAATAAACAACCTGTTCACTATCCAAATAAATGAATCTTAATTAAAAGAAGGAAGAAATGGTTTTAAAACATTATAGGTAAAGGGCAGAGAATAAATGACGTCAAAAGAGATTCCTGTTAGCAGGAGCGGTTCCCCAAACTGTCTCTATATTAGAATCACTTGGGGATATTTTAAAATGTCCAACGCCCTGACCACAGTCCAAACCAATTAAATCGTAATTTCTGGAGGTAAGACACAGACATCAGTAGTTTTTGAAGATGAAGATGATTCCAATGTGCAGATAAGTTTGGGGAAAATTTTTGAAAGTAAACTATCACATTGCTCATGAGACAAAGTTTTCACATCTACAATTTGCTTAGCTCTTTCCTATGAACACAAAACTATTTATGAATATGAAACAACTAGCCAATCACTTTTGTACAATTTTGAAAGTTGTTTTATAAGTTTTGATGATTTGCAAGAATTAATTTATTTTTCAGGCAGTATTAGAACAAGTTCAGTGTTTCCTAAACTGTGTTCTACGGAACAATACTCTTTAAACGCTGTTAATCTAAGAGATCTAAGAGGTCTGTGGTCTCTGTCTTGGGGACGCATGATTCACGTTAGCATGTAAAACAGTTCTAAGATGTCCAGGAACAAAGAAAACGTGAGTCTCTTTTTTAACTCAGTGTTTCACAAATATATTTGAGAAAAAAACCCCAAGAAACTTCTTTTACAATTACACTAACTTACATATTTCAGTTTTAAATACCAGGTATAGGCTTAGGATTTACCAAGTGATCTCCAGCCCAGGCCCTCCCTTGTATTGCAGGCTGCCCATTTATAACCTTAACAGATTCTCAAACCATACATGTTCAAAACTAAGCTCCTATTTATACAGCCACCGTCTGACACCAACTCACTCATCCATCAGGTTTCTTCATCTCTGTTTTATTTAACAGACACTTATACAGTGCTTCTGATATGCCAGTCACTTTTCTAAGTGCTTCACACGTGATAATTAATCTAATACCCAACACCACTACTATTATCTCCATTTTAGAGATGAGGACACTGAGGCACAGAAAGGTTAAGTAACTTGCTCCAGAGCTAATATGTGGCAGAGCTCCCTCCCATTTTTAGGTCATTACTCACATATCCCCTTCCCAGGGCTCCCTCCCTGGCCACCCTATCTACGTGTTCAACTCCTCTCATTTCCTACGTTTCTTTATTTTATCCTATCCTTACTTTTTAATTTTTCTCCTTAGCATTTACCACTATATATTTCACTTAATTTATTTATTGTTTGCCTTTTACACCAAAATGTAAGTGCTGTGATGGCGGGGATTTTGTCTGTTTTCTTCACTGCTTCATCCCCAGTGCCTATAAGAGTGTCTGCAGTGAGGGAAAGCTCAACAAATATTACCTGAAAGAGTTGTTCAGTTGACCAGAACACTAGCGTACTGGCAGGCACAAGCTGGGAATCAGTTGACTAAGCCATCATAGAATAATATTCAACTTAAAATCTTAAGCAAAGATTATTCAGTTTTCCTTAATAACTTATTTCAAGGGTATATACATACAATACTAGTGCCAAAAAAGTTTTATAACTATGTAGTTTTAAAATCCCATGACCGCAAAAAATTGAGAAACACATATTCTACTTTTAGATGAT